CCCAACTTTTGTGAAAGTCCTTCAAAATCTCTCAAATGAACGATAAGAAAATTGTAAGATTTTTTTATTTGTATTTTCTACTTAAAAGTTAATGAGTGGAGAATTTTGTTAAGGTTGTTAGAAGTTATTAATACTTTGAATACCCTGTGAGTTTTAAGGACATTAAAATTTTAATTTAATACTTCATTAGTTTTAAAAACTTTTAAAAAGTATATGAAAAATTACATTGAATGCACCTAGAAATTTTAAATATGTAAAAGTATTCAATCTTCTTGTTGTGTTCTTGGTGCATTTTGGTGCTGATCGGGTCACCATCTAGGATCATTAGGTACTTCATTCAGTAAAGATGACAACAAGCTGGGATGAGAATTAACAGATTCCCATTTACTATCCCGTTTAATTATCTACCTATATTTTTATCTTTTTTTTTTTGAAATGCGATTTAATATAAATTGAAAGATATGAAAATAAAATAAAAATATTTGGAATGGATAGAAGAATTCGAGGAACAGACTATGATTCCCATCTCTGTCCCATTTACTATTTTGGTTGGGGTAATGCGGGTCGGGTCGAGCAGAATTTTATCATCTCTAACGTTCAAATGTAATATTATTATTGAAAAAATGAGAACAAAGTTTCTAATTGGTATAACATGAAATAATGATAAACTTGTAAGGAAGAGGGGAGAAGAAACTCAAAACTCAGAAGTGATTTCAACCTTAAAAAGTGAAAGAGCCATATTAGATTGTACAGGGAAAAACTGTCCACACTTTTACAGGGGTAGTTGGCATTTTTTCATTGGGTGGTTCGACAAAGATAGAAAAACACAACCATATCCGTACTGAACAATTCAAAGTGAAGTAGTCATATTCCATAGTTATTGTTCAAAAACCTGTTTTTGCGATGAAAGTAGGCCAAAAAATCTGTAAACTAAAAATGGATAATTAAAAAACAAATCTAAACAAATACAAATATATAAATTTTGTGTGTGTGTGTGTGTGTATATATATATATATATATATATATATATATATATATA